GCACCACCTCAACAGCAGCACCAGCCTCCTCTTCCGCCTTCTCATCGCTACCATGTGCCACCCTCGTCTGCACAGTTCACACTTCAGCGTGCCGGCCAACAGAAGAGACCACCAGCAGGAGGGCCACCATTGACCCCAAGCTCTCCTCATCCGCAATATACCTTGCATGGCAGACATGCCTCCAACCAGCCCCAGTCTCCCTTACCCATGTATGGTTCTGTTCCTCAGCATGCCATGACTCATACTTACCCACAACACATGCACCAGGCTCAGCACTCCATGCAGAAACAACCCCCAAAGCACTTTGTATTCAGCCATCACCCATCTGCCATGCCTCCCCAGCCACAGCGCCCACCACAGTCTCAATATAATCAACAACATCCCAGCCAATCCCCTTGTTCTCCTATTTCTCCAATCCCTCCCCACCCATCCTATCCACCTCTTCCCCCTCCATCTCCACATACACCACACACTCCTCTTACTCCACATTCCCCTCTCCCTCCAACATCTCCCTTACCCCAGCATTCATCTCATCATCCCATGGGAACAAACACCGCCCCTGGGAACCCTAAACAAAAACCAGTCAACAGAATCAGTACGGTGGTGTGAAAGGTGGGCAACTTGCCCTGTGCACACTCTGGTTGGCCACTTCGTAAAGAGGGGGGCAGTCTGTGGATGTGTGAACAGCATGCACGTGGGGAACAGAAGATGGGGATCCCCTGCTGTTCTTTCTCCAATCACTCTTGCACTGCACTTCACTCACCAGACCACAGCTACAGCTGGTGATGGACTCATTGAGAGACTTTCTTAGACATCTGAAGACAAAGATGGCCATCACTCCTACTATAAGTGCTGCTCGCCCTCCCTCTTCCTTAGTCTGCATGAAAATGCTCTTTCGTGTTGGCCAACATCTATTTTCTGAGGCTCCAGGCCCACACCCCCTCTAAAGCCTTGGAGAGGAGCAGAAGTTCAAAGTTATAGTGAAAGGCGATATAATGGGACAGTGTGCTATCTCTCAGTTAGGGGGACTGCTGTTGTAAGGTGATCGTTTTAATATTTTGTGAGTAAGTTAATTGACCTTATCACTCCAGTGTGTGAGTATGTAAGTGGAACGTATGCTTGTGTGTTTAGGGTGATTCTCAGACTGGTGGGTGTGAAGCCCAAATTTGCTGCTATTGGGGCATATGAATGTGAGAATGAAGGACAACTGACTCTGAAACAGACGGGGTTACATGCATGAGTCTAGTACCATACAAGCCACTGTTAGATCTCAATGAGTGCTCTGGGGTCTCACTCCCATTTTTGTCCATACTGGTGCCATTCATGCATTGTTTCCTATGGGGCTCTGCATTTTATGTTGTAAATGGACAGTTTGACTTTTATTTTATTTTTTTCCTGGGTTCCCCTATATTTCAAAGGGTCAGGGTCCAAACCAATGGAATTATGCAGGAATTAACCCCTCTGCAATAGTGTTGCAAATATGTGTATATAGAATAGATGCTATTATACTTGGAGAGCCCATTATGCTGTCTTCTCCCTTCCAGTACACAGAGCAGTGTCTGATTTTCTTTACAAAAAACACTATAGAGATCTATATATACAGAGAGAAAGTTCTATATTAATATAAATCTATATATATATAGTGTATAATCCCTCATTATAGGTAGTAAATCAGCCTTTATTTTAAGGTTTTTAAGAAAGATGACGTAAGAATGTGGGCAAAGAAGATAGATTGCCCTACAGACAATCATGTATACTCTCAGTCCAATTTCCCAGTATTGGTATATTTTATTTATTGTTTTATCCAACTTCACTCCAAGTCAGTAATGCAGAAATCATGCAGAAATCAGCCATATTTAAAAGGGTTATTGTATGTTTACATTCTTAAATCAAATTTTTTTTTTTTTTTTTTAAAGTAAGCCCTGTTCATATAAGAGTCTAAAATCAGTGGGCTATATTCACTAAACAGTTGACCGTAGGCCTATTGCGTAACATAGGCCGAAAAAGCAGATTTTTGCAATCAGATTGTCAATGCACTGAAATACAGTCATCATTCAGAGTTTGATTAAAGTTTCAGGTCAAAGTTGACAAATTTCAAACATTTTCTAAGTCCGCTATGCTGGTATGTTAGCTACTTTGGAGTAAAATTTCAAATACACTTGGAATCTCCAACAATTCACGCCTTGGTAAATAACTGAGCATTTGGTTAATGAAATCCCTTTAAATGTGTAAATTGGTGTTGCTTGCATTTGGTGATATCTAATGTGTGTTTCCTTATTAAAATGAGTTCACCGTCTTGATTTATGGGTAAAAAGTTATGTTTTAAAATCATTTCTAGATTGAGCTACTTATCGATTATTGGAGGGGATTTACACAGCCAGAAGAATTAATTTTAATTGCATGCATTGTCTAATACGGATAGATTTAGCTGATTTTCCTCAATTAGAGGTGGGAAGCATTTCTATTTATTTAAACATTTAGTGATGATAATATATACAACAGGATCCAATAGGTGCATCAGCTACAAGCATCCCCTATTTATATGGATAACACGTGATCTGATCAAGGTGAATTCAGTTCAGTATGATTGCTGAAGCATTTATAAGGAAATCTTGGAAGCAGAATATTAATAAAATCAAATAATTAGATCTTAAAACCATCCTAATCTGACTTAATAAATTCTTAGCAGTTCAATCAAATGGCATATCTTTTTAATACATCTATTAATTATCTCATAATGTCTAAACAACATTTGGGTGCATATTCTGTTTTATTTCATACTTACGTCATTGTTATCTTCTAATTTGCTTATTTTTAATTATATTCAGTTTTTAGAATGCACTAATCCAGTTAATCACTTCACCATTGACATATAATGCATATCATTAGAGAGAGAAATACTAACCTCTGCCAATAGAGGGAGCCCAAGATTAACTTTCTGGACCACTTTATACTAATGGATATCAACAATTGCAAGCAACGTTCTAATTTTGTACCTTTTTTATCATAGTATTGAATAATGTCTCCTATGTATTTGGACTACAGCTTCCATATCATCAGAAGGACCTGAGGTCCAGAAACCACCATAAGACTTCAATTTCCGAGTCCTGCTCTCTTCTATGACTTATATTTCCAAATTTCTTGAGATTTAGCATATTTTTTGAGTTGAAGCATGTAATGGCTATCAAATTCCATTTGCTGAAAGGTGGCTTTCTATAAATCTCTTAACCCGAAATGCATTTGCACTTTTCTCCAAGCACTCCTTAATGACTTATAAGCCTAGACCTCTCACAGCAGTGCTGTCGTGGTGTACGTGGATTTGGCTAAACCCTCTGACGAAGTTATGCTTTGAAACCATTGTAAATGGCAGCCATAAACCTTAAGTGAATAAAAGTCAATATTTTTATTGATATGTCTTCCTCCAGAAACCCCTGCTGTATTGAAATCTAATGTACTGTTAAGTGATTATGGTTGAAAGCAGTCACTTAAAATCGGATGCTCCCTGCTCCTTCCCAGCTTTCCCCGTGAATAGGGAGAGAAAATAAAATAGGTATTTAGGATCGGTGGGGATTTTCACAGAATGTATCATACTTTGAGTGGTTTAAAGTAGACATATCATTTTCCCATACACTGCATTTTACAGTTTGGCATACATTAAATAATGCCATGTGTTGGAAATAACCAGATCTTTGAAAAACGACCTTGCTTGTATGTAGGAGAGAACAGCCATATTGTCGCTCTGTAAGCATAACTATTAATCTCCCATGACTTACTCCTCCCTTTTGGCTGACTTTGATTGGCTTAGGCAGCTTCTACGGAATGACCAAAAGGAAGCGCTAATTAACTGTGTAAGTGTATTGGTTAAAACGGTAATGAGTTAAGGGAACCAAAATCCACATTCATTGTGTAAATTCTCCTTTTTATTTGTTTTGCAAAACAGTCCAATTGTTTGGACAGTCGTCATTAGGCACACACACCCAACTAGCCATTTAAGGGCTTCTGTTCATATAGACACTCCTATGGTTAGACATAGTAAGTGCCATAACTGTATCCCAATACATTGATTATACGGCTTGACCCCACCAGTTCTTGTCAAACTACGTCTCCTAAAGTAGTTGATAGGGAATCCTGGGAAATAAAGTCCAATCAACAGTTGGAGAACCAGCGTTTGAACCCTCCTAATTTTATATACGGTGAAGTTTTTAGTTAATAAATTAACTAAAAACTTCCTTTTATAAACACTGGTATCAACTCCATTTAAAATTCTCTAAATTTAAAACAAGTCACTATGGGAGTGTTTTTAGATTGCATGAGGTTTTGTTTGCAATTTGAAAAATTTAGTTCTCTTATCAGTTGCAGTTGACCTTACGCAGGTCTTTTTCTTGTTTTTGATGGTATCTCTTTTAAAAAAAAAATAATCATAATTTACCATTTCTTCACAGTTAAAACCAGTTTAAAACCGATTAACGTGCTAGTTTTTTGGGGGAGAAGATGAGCTTTTAAAACCCTTACACTATCACTGCTAACAATATCCATGCATTGTATACTATTTTGGGAATGTCTTGTCCCCCAACTGCATCTGTTTCAAGGGAATGAAGTTCTTGTATCCCATCTACTATACCATTTTTTATTATTATTATTATTTTATAGCCCCCAATCAGGTCCATTTTATTATAATTATTATTATTTATGGCTTCTGCCCCTTGTATGCTCCTAGCATGCTTGTGGTGTGCTGCTTGCAAGCACAACACTGCTGTACAGACCTGGATGTGTGTATAGAATATATATGATAAATATTTCCTATGGAATGATTATCCAGCCTGTGCCGCGTGGGGTGGGAGAGGGAATTTGGGGGAAGTATGGGGTTAACTTTCTGGGGGACAGGTATCTTGTCCTTAAATTTCTTTTGTTTGTTTATTTTTGGACTGTTCCAACTCCCAGTTCACGGGGTGGTTTATTTTTGTTGGGGGAGGGGAGGGAGGGAAAAAAATGAAGTATATATGGAATCAACGTGTAAATATTGTGTATATTTGCTGCAGAAATCGAAAAAAAGTCTGTTACTAGTGCGTACTCTGTCTCCTGTTTTATTTGAAGTGCAGCTTTGAGTGGTGAGAGAAGAGCGAAAGCTGTGTGTTCTAAAATGGATTTGAGGGTTTTTGTATAAACTTTTCGATTGCATATGATTAAAACAAAAATTCACAACAGTTCAGACAGGACATTAACGCAAACAATCAAGCTGTTAAACTACAACTCCCAGGATTCAGAGTAAGCCTGCCCCTAAACAGGTTTTTTCTCAACAACTTCCTCCTCAACATTTCAAATGTTTTCTTCATTAATTAATGTTCTTTAATGGCCTGGTCATCCTTTACACTAAATTACCTAAACTCACTATCGACTAGACTAAAAAATGGCAATGTTATCTATGATAACTTGAGAAGTTCTGTTATGTAACCTTTACAATCTTTAATAAAATTTTAACCTGTTTAAAGATTGTCAAGATTGCGGTTTGACATTTTGAGTGCTTTCACTTGACTCTGAACTGCCTTTGCTGCAGTTATGTGATGCACGTTTCTTTAGACATGTTTGCCTCTAAAAGCCACCACAACTGTAGCTCAATGAAGTGGTTCTAGTGTATAGATGATGCAGTCTTACTCCTCATTCCTATGATGTTTAGGAGTGAAATAGCTTTATTAATTCAGTCCTAGCCAAACCTCCCGTGGCTTTTACTCGCAAAGCCTCCATGTAAAAATAGTTTCATTTTTATAGCGTGATGTGTTTAGTTTAGAAGTTCTAATCTCCAGCTTTGCCAATTTAACATTCAGCATACATAGAAGGCTTTTGCAGGTTAGCAGGCAATTAACAGAGCATAACAACTTCTAAATAAACCCACAATGTGCAATTAGGGAAGTTTACAAATGAGACCTCTTTTTCAGGAAGTGTTGGAAGGCTCTGTGTGGCTCAGTCAATGAAGGTGTGGCTAGGGTTGCATAAACAAAGTTATTTCACTCCTAAATGGCAGAGAATTGAGAAGTGACACTGCAGGGGCATAATCGGATACACCAAAACTGCCTCATTAAATTAGTTCAGGAATTTGGATTGCCCCTTTAAAGTAGTACTAAATTTTAAAAGCAGTGAGCATTTTGCTTGCATAGTAGACTTGAAGTGGGAAAAAAATGTGTGTGAGATAAAAACTACTTGCAGTGAGTTGTGTGTGTCCCCGAAAGTTATCACTTTGTGTGTTGATCCACATTACACAATTGCAAACCACAAAATCCAATATTAAAATACCAAACGCACCATAAATAATACACGCTCATTTACCATGGCTTTTATAGATCTTTGCATTACACATTTTTATTAACACTTGTTCGTTGCATAGATACATGTGTAGAATTTATAAAGGAATAAATCAATGTCATTATCAACCAGTTATCCACAATTTCCTATTTAGTGAATTAGCCCCTCTTCGACCAGGAAATGGTTTCCTCCAGATAGGAGCCTCTCATATTGGTCTGTGACGGTTTGATCTTGGGATTGTAAGATATATAGTTTAGCCCTCAACAACCATTCCGCTCATCAAATTAAAAATGGGTGGACCGGCTGAATAAAGCAGTTGTACTTTAGCTGATAGCAGCCTGTTTGACAGCCCTATTAACAGCTATGTGAGTCTGTGTTTGGTCAGCATTCGTGTATGCGCCGACCACTCGTGTAGCTCATTCTGTTTTATGGAGCTGGAAAAGTGAGATATAGACTTATTGCATTGTAAATATATGTAAACTGAATGAAGCATGGTTTATTCCATCACTGTTCGTAATAGTGGACAATCTTACCGTTGTATCGATGGTTTCAAATACTGCATTTAACATACACTGTTTGCAAGAGACAAGGACAGGAGTATATGCTTGTGCAATGGGTATAGAAAACAAAAATAAGCGTGATGATTTAGCATTTTAACCATCCATATGATGGAGAATGCAATATTTTGATTTTGGTAATCAGAAAGCAGTTTTAATTGATCATCGTTGTAGCACTATTGCTTACAGATGACTCTAGGAAGTCTTTGTATAAAAATTCCTCTTGGCAGAACCCAAACCAATAATTTGTCACTTTGAGCAAGATACTCCATAGAAACAGATTAAAATAGAACTTAAAGGGACACTATACTCACCAGAACAACTACAGCTTATTGCATTTGTTCTGGTGAGTAGAATCAATCCCTTCAGGCTTTTTGCAGTAAAGACTGTCTTTTCAGAGAAAATGCAGTGTTCACTTTACAGCCTAGTGATAACTTCACTGGCCACTCCTCATGTGGCTACTAGAGGTGCTTCCTGGGGCATTGTGATATAGAAATTTATGATGGATCAATCATCCAAGAGAGATAACCAGAGGCCCCAAATTATATGTACGAGTGCTCGGGAGAACCGATAATAAACCAGACACTTTATTGTAGTTCAAAAGTCATCTCTCAATCTTTAATGGGAGAACATTGTGTATATGTGCAGACATATCCTTGTCTCCACCCACTGCATGCAGACACCGAACTTTCCTCATAGAGATGCATTGATTCAATTCATCTCTATGAGGAGATGGTGATTTGTCAGGGCTGTGTTAGACTTTTACTGGCTCTGCTCCTGATTTGCCTCCTTGACAGTCTCAGCCAATCCTATGGCAAAGCATTGTGATTTGGCTCACATAAATACTTTTGATGATGTCAGACAAGCAGGCAGATCAGAGGCAGCAGTTGCAGACTTGAATACAAGTAAGATTTTACTATATTTAGGGTGGCCATAGGGGCTAGATGGTGGTTTTAACACTATAGGGTCAGGAATACATGTAAGAATCTTTGACAATGTTCACAAATATACTGTTTTTTTTAATGTGTGTGATTTTGATTGGCTTGAGAACAGTAAAAGCATTTGAGATTTCACAAATATGAAACCCTGCCTTTCAGTTCCTGCTGAGAATGAGCTTACCCAACAGAACTCGAAATTGCATGTAGGTGGAAGCAAGAACACCGTGCTACATTAATGTAGCTGCACAACCATCATGCCTCTTGTGTGTACCCAGGAAGAAAAGATCAAGGAGATGCCATGTGTAGAAGATGCATACTGCGAGACCGTGTGGGAGAGACATAGAGGTGGGCAGAAGGGATGGTATGAGATGGTAACTGAGTAAATAAGGCTATATGGGTAGGAAGGGCGGGGGGGCTGAAATGAGACTTGCGTCCATTAAGTTCAGCCTTCCTCACATAGGTTTTTGTTGTTGATCCCAAAGAAGGCAAAAAACCCAGTGTGCCTTCTTAACCCTAAAATAGCAGTCAGCTATCTCTTTGGATCAAGCAGCTATTACCCCACTAATTAGAAATTATATCCCTGTATTCTATGTTTTTGGAAGTATTTATCCAATTGCTATTTAAACATCTGTATGGACTCTGATAAAACCACCTCTTCAGGCATAGAATTCTATGTCCTTATAGTTCTTACTGTAAAAAACAAAACAAAAAAAACCTTTTCTTTGCCTTAGATGAAATCTCCTTTCTTCCAGTCTAAATGCATGACCTTGTGTCCTATGTATAGCCCTGTTTATGAATAGATTTCCAGATAATGGTTTGTACTGGTCCCAAATATATTTGTATAATATTATCATTTTCCTTTTGAGGCGCCGTTTCTAAAATAAAGAGATTTAATTTTTTTTTAACCTTTCTTTGTAACTGAAGTTTTGCTGCTAAGGTAAGCTCTCATTTACTGAGCCTCTCTCAAAAGATGTTGCAGATGTGATCAAAGGTCTGGAGTATGTATATACGTATGTAGATGGCTCCAGAAGGTTGTTAAAGGCTAGACCCTCAACTCTCTGTTTTTACCAACAGACTAGGAATCTCAGTGTGGTAAGCACTCCAATACACCAGTGGGGACCAGGATATCCCCCACTGGTCCAAAGGATAGGAAGACAGGACACAACACTAACAGGCTCTAATTCAAAGGCGAGGATCTGCCTCTTCCCCCAACATTGAGGGCAGCGGTAGGCCACATCGACGTCTAGCACAGGCTGTGTCTTCTGACAACATGCAAGAGAGTGCCAAATAATCGGCTGTGTGTTCCTCAGGAGAAGGGACAGGCTTTGAGGCACAAAAAATAAGGATCAATAATGTCCAATATTAGACTCTGTAAGTAGGTTTCTCAGAGAAGCTTCAGCACCCTGCAACTGTCTCGGTCGGCTGTCAGCCCCATCCCCCATGCTTTTCCCTTTTAGTGGCACAACTTGATGCTATATTAAAAAAAAAAAAAAAACGATTGGCACCAAATAAATTTAACCCTTTAAGGACACATGACGGAAATATTCTGTCATTATTCCCTTTTATTCCTAGTAGTGTCCTTAAGTGGTTAATCTAATCTATCTATATATAGTATCCGTGTATGAACATATTTATCTCCTGAGCTCTCCAGTGTTCATTAAATACATAAAAGCCAGGGCTACCTTTCCTCATGTATAGCAGTCAGGTTGACAAAACTTGACAATAGACGGGGCTTAAGGCCATGTTCTGTTTCAGTATCCAATTAGATTTACCCACAAACAATCCCACAGAAGGGGAACTGCAAACATCATGGACGGAGGAGAATAAAATGGCTGCTCCCAGATACTGAGATCAAGCACAAGGAAGCAAAAAATTAATCTAACCAATGGCAAGTGGTAAGAAAGGGAGCTTAATCATCAAGATACAAGGGATTAAGATACATGAGGGTCCTGAGGTGAGTCACAATGGAGGATTACAACGTTGACCAAGTAAACGTAAATAAATTCTTATATGCCACAAAGATTGTGAAGCTCAACGTGGATGAATGTGTAATTCCAACAAGGTCAACGAAGTGGGGGGAGGCATTCTTAAAGCCATTTCCTGTGGTCAAAGAAATGTTCCCACAATACTTACCTCTCCCCCGTGTTCTCGAGTTGCTTACTTTGAACGTCCTGTCCTAAAAGAATGAGTACAGTTTGTCTATTCGTGTTAGGACGAAATTCTGTACTTTTTGTTCAATTCAGAATTTCATTTGAATGAATGAAATTCCGATCCAATTTGTGCTGCCGCTTACTAGATAGCTCCATAATTTCTACGGTATTAGGGAGCTATCTGCTAAAAGACCAAAATTGGTCTTTATCAGCCAAATTTACTAATACTAAGTATATAACTTAGTATTAGTAATTAAGGGAGATTCAA